ATGGCTGCAACCAAAAAATGGCCAGGCATTGTGGTGGACTCCTGTGGTCCCAGCTACTTGGGAGGCAGAGGCAGGAGACTCACTTGAGCCCAGGAGTTGGAGGTTGCTGTGAGCTGTGATGCCACAACACTCTACATAGGGGGACAGCTTGAGGCTGTCTCAAAAAAAAAAAAATTAAACTTAATCATAGGGATGCATGCATAGGAAAAAAACTGAATATTCAAGGTTCTGTGCTATCCAGAGGTCTTTAAGTGTACACTGGGGATCCTGGAAATTATCCCCCATTGATGAGGGGCACTACCATAGGGTCTCTGTGGGTGTCATCAAGTTACAGTGAAATGAGGTCAGTAGCATGGGCCCCTGATCAGTGGCTGGTGTCCTTGTAAGAAGTTTGGACATAAACACAGAGGAGAAGGCCAGGTGGTGATGGAGGCAAAAATTAGAGAGATGAGGCAGAGCCTGTAGCTCAGCGAGTAGGGCGCTGGCCCCATATACTGAGGGTGGCGACATCAAACCCGGCCCTGGGCCAAACCATAACAAAAAAATAGCTGGGCACTGTGGGGAGCATCTATAGTCCCAGCTACTCAGGAGGCTGAGGCAAGAGAATCACCTAAGCCCAGGAGCTGGAGGTTGCTGTGAGCTGTGTGGCGCTGCCACAGCACTCTACTGAGGGCAAAAAGTAAGACTCTGTCTCTAAAAAAAAGAAAGAAAGAAATTAGAGAGATGCAGCTCCTGTCTGAGGGATCCTGGAAGCTGCCAGAAGGTGGAAGAAGTGAGGGAGAGTCTATGAGGGGAGCACAGCCCAGCCGACACTTTGGCCTAGACTTTTGGCCTTCAGAGCAATGGGAGGATGAACTGCTGTTGTTTGAAGCCACCCTGGGTAGCCCTAGGTGTTCCCTACCCCGTCCCTCCCCTACCCGCATTCCCTGAGTATCACCTCTGGCAGTCAGTACAGGGGGTGCCCAGGAGGAGCAAGACCTGTGTGCAAAGGTGGCAGCTACCCCTCCTGTTGCTCCAGTGACTTGCTCCATCCTCTGCACTGTGTCTCTCAGTTTCTTCTGGCCAAAGAAGGGGACAATCTCTGTGCTCGTGAACCTTTGAACATCTCTGGCTTTCTCTAGCCAGGCTTTGACATGGGTTTTATCCTCTGCTGTGGCCCAAGGATGTTGGATGGGCCACAGTGACCTCCTGTGCAGGCCGTGTCAGATGTCACATGCAGACATCTTTGGACTCAGGATACCCTTGTGCTAAGTGTCCACTAACCAATAAACAGGAAGGAGAGGACTGAATGGCCCTGGGTGCTGCCAGCTGGTGCTGCCCTCTGCTTTTCCCCTGCTGATGTCCTCCAGAGCAAGGCATTCATGCCATCACCCCACAGGGCCACCAGGGGGAAACTGGGGACACAGACTTCTGGTCTCTAGTGGGCCTTGGCCTGCTGCCACTCTGCCTGTCCATCTCTTTTCCAGATGAGACCTTGGGAAGCCCTTAAAAAGCTTTGTTTGAGTGGTTCCTCTGTCAGAGAGTGGGGTTAATGCTTGCTGCATGCTACTGTGTACCAACCCAGACAGTGGGGACACTGCTACCCTCCTTGTCCCAGCAGCCTGCATTCAGGCTCTACAGCCCCCATGATGGGAGCAGGGAGGGTTTTCTCCAGGTGGTTTAGCAACCTGACCTTGGTACGCTGATGATTCCCCTCAAGGAACGGAATGAGGGCTGGGTTGGGAGGGCTTGGGAGTCATGCTACAGGGCAGAGGACTTTGGCCTTCCAGCTATCAGTCAGTGTCTCTGCAACCCTGAGCTCAGCTCCCCACCGGCCCTCCAGGCTGATGAGCTTGGTGTCTGCCTAGCACAGCTGCCTAGCCAGGCCAGGCAGTCTTAAGGAACGGGTTCAGAGGCCTGGCTCTTGGTGGAAGGCACACTGTCTGTGATTGGCCCTTGTGTCCCCACAGGGCTGAGTGGTGCTAACTGGGCCTCAGAATCTGGCTGGGAAAGGACAAAGCAGCTGTGCCCCTATCAGGGCTGAGGCACGGAGCTCCCTTACAGTTGTCGCCTAATGTTCCTCTGAATGTTCCTGTGTTTCCTGGACCTTATCTCCTGCATGAAGGCTGCTCTGTGTGAAATAGCAGCTCCTGTCCCTGTGCTTATCCCTCCCACCTGTGGCACCTCTTCCCTTTGTCCCTTGCCTTGGTGTGTCCTTCCCCTAGCTCTTCTGACTCTAGTTACTCAACCACAGTCCAGTTCTGCCTGCCCTTGCCTGAAGCCTCACCTCCTGTGTTCTTGCTTCTCATCCTGGGATGACCCTGACATGCTGCTGAGTATCTCAGCCCTGCCAGGTGGGACCTCTTCTGTGGGGTTGAGGAGAATGAAGCCCAGGAGTACTTATGGGTCACACCAGAGGTCCATTGTGGGTGGGGTTGGGTGTGGAGGCCAGAGGGCAGGACTCTACTCCATGTCCAGGGGTGGAACTAACAGCCCTGGCTCCAACTGAGGACACGGTGGCATCTTCTTTGTGTTAGGTCCTGGTTTCTGTCCTGTTGTCCTGAATTTAGGAATCGTTATCGTGGTGCTTGGCATAAAATTGTCTGTGAACCACTCACTGATCAAAAGTACCCTCCTGGGGGCAGCGCCTGTGACTCAGTGAGTAGAGTGCCAGCCCCATATACCAAGGGTAGTGAGTTCAAACCCAGCCCCAGCCAAACTGCAACAAAAAAATAGCCGGGGTCGGCACCTGTGGCTCAAAGGAGTACAGTGCCGGCCCCATATGTTGGAGGTGGGGGGTTCAAACCCAAAAAAAGAAAAAATAACCAGGCATTGTGGCCGGCACCTGTAGTCTCAGCTACTTGGGAGGCTGAAGCAAGAGAATCGCCTAAGCCCAAGAGCTGGAGGTTGCTGTGAGTTGTGATGGCACAGCACTCTACTGAGGGCAACAAAGTGAAGACTGTCTCCAAAGAACAAAAAGTACCCTCCTAGGAAATTTTTTAGTATTTGTATTTTTTAATATGTTTACTTGGTCAAATTTTTCATTTTTGAGATAGGATCTCACTGTTGCCCAGGCCTGGAGGGCTGTGGGGTCATCATAGCTCACTATAACCTCAAACTCCTGGGGCCAAGTGATCCTCTTGCCATAGCCTCTTAAGTAGCTGGGACTACAGGCGCCTACCATAATGCCCACCTAATTTTTCTACTTTTTATAGAGATAGGCTCTTGTTGTATTGCCCAGGCTGGTCTCAAACTTCTGGACTCAAGCAATTCTGCCTCCCAGGGTGCTGGGATTATAGGCTGGAGTCACTACGCTTGGCCTACTTGGTCAAATTTTAACAAATGATGTGAAATTCAGTGAGACCAGAGCCATGTACCGGGGCAGTACGGGGTGTTGGCCTGGACACCTCTGTTCTGGGGAAACCTGGCTTCTGGCAGACTGCCGGGGAGGGGGGGCGGGGCTCGTTTCCAGGCCCTAGCACCTATGACATGTTCTGGTTGCCAAATGCAGGTGGGGCTTGCATAGCTGAGGCTGTGCGCCTGGTGGTTTGTGGGCACTGGGTGAGTCCAGGCTTTTCCCCCAGGTTCTGCTCTAGACATTCGTCTTGGTGATGTGAATGTCACGTCTTTAGAGAAGGACCTAGAAGAGCACAACGGTCACGACCTTGGGCCCACAGGTAGGGCGCCAAGGCCTGCATGCTTCTCCTTGCTGTGGGGCTCTTTGGAGCTGTGGGGTTTGGGTTTGGGGGTCCCTCCTCCCTGCCACTGCTGCCTGTACAAAGTGGTCCCGTCCTCCTTTGGTCTGCAGGGCACGCAGACCGACAGATTAACCTCATACACTCAGTCATGTCCTTCAGCCTAAAAGTTCATTTTGTCTTTCTGATTTGAAAGAACTTAAGCCATTTCAGGGAACCCTTAAGTGCTGGGAGTACGATGTACCAGTGGCTGAGTTGGCCAGGCAGGGCCTGAGGGTGGCAGGTCTCTGCTGAGATGTCCTCAGACCCCTTTGCTTAGCCAGCTCCATACCTAAGTGGCACTGTGGGGCAAGCTCCATCTCCTCTTCCATCTCCCTGGCATACTGCTGCCTTCAGGTGGCTCCCCCTCAGGCCTCCTGGACCCCCTTCCATGGCTGCTGCCCCAGCTTGTGGTAAGTGTCTTGGGCAGCAGGCCTGGCGCTCCCACTCACAGCATCCTGCCCATCTAGGTCCGAGGTCACTGGCAGGCTCAGCGCCTGTGGCCATTCCAGGCTCACTGCCTCGATCACCGTCCCTGCACTCCTCGTCTTCCCTGTCCACCTCACCGCTCAGCTCACTCTCCCAGTCCCTGCCGGGGCCTCTGGTCTCCACAGCCATGACACCCCCCCAGCAGCCGCTGCCCCTTCGCTCAGAGCCGGGGGTGCTGGGCTCCTCTGCCTCATCCTACAGCTCCTTAGGTGAGTCTTGGGTAGCCTGGCTCCACAGTGTGGAGCCTGTGCAGGCTCTAATGACCACTGTCACACATTGAGGTCAGGATGGCCCTTGTGTCCCCTGTAGGCATAGGGAAGGTGGGCCTTGTGGACCAGCTGCAGGAACACATATGCCATGTGTTTGTTGTTCCTGTTCTTTCCCTTAGAAAAGGTTACCTTTTGTAATTATGTTTTAAAGAGTTAGCATTTCTTGGTATTTCTGACGTGTCATGCTTGTGAGGAGAGCTTCTTGGAGTCCATGAAATTCTTGTGTGTGTGTGAAGGGCTCTGAGCTGTATAGGTATAGGGGCTCCGGGGTTAGTTCCCCTTTCTGTCTACCAGCCACAGTGGGGGGTGGTGCAGATCCACTGGGATGGGGCTGGATTGTGTCCTTGAGCCTCCCAGCACCTCTCCTTGAACCCCTAAGGCTCCACCTCTGCAGTCAGGGAAAGTGGGCTATGGGGGTTCCCACACAGGAGTGTGGCTGGCTGTATCATTTCCTCTCCTCCACACCTAGGTTTGAATGGTGTCCCTGGGAGCATCTGGGACTTTGTTTCTGGTAGCTTCTCTCCCAGCCCATCCCCTGTCCTGAGCACTGGCCCCACATCCTTGAGTGCGAGTCCTAATGGTGCCGAGCTGGCCCGGGTCCGGCGGCAGTTAGATGAGGCCAAGAGGAAGATCAGGCAGTGGGAGGAATCCTGGCGGCAGGTGAAGCAGGTGAGGGGGGGGGGTCTGGCTGGGGATGGGCGGGGAGGAGTGGGGACCATGGGGCACCCTGGCTGGCCACAACCTCCTGCATGGACCTGGGTTCCAGGCCTGTGATGCATGGCAGCGGGAGGCTCAGGAGGCCAAGGAGCGAGCTCGAGTGGCAGACAGCGACCGACAGCTGGCGCTGCAGAAGAAGGAGGAGGTAGAGGCCCAGGTCAGGCAGCTGCAGGAGGAGCTTGAGGGCCTGGGCCTGTCCGCCCTGCCTGGGCTGCGTAGCTTTGGTGAGATCGGTGCCCTCCCTCTGCCAGAGTTGCACTCCCTGCAGAGTCAGCTGCGCTTGGACTTGGAAGCAGTGGATGGGGTGAGTCATGGCTGTGTAGGGGCCAACCCTGGTGAGGGCTCTGGACAAATACCAGGAATAGGGACTTGCCGGGCCCGTCTTTTTGCTCTTCCTACCCCTACCCTACACTCTTCACAAGTGTTTGCTGTAGGCCACCTCCCAGGACAGGTTGGTCCCTGCCCCTCCTTTCCAGAATCTTCCACACATGCCCACTCCCTATTCTGTCTTACCAGTGCATGCCAGGCTATGCCCTTCAGGGAAAAGGTACTTCTGTCCCTCCCCTGGGTATAGAGCTAGAACCATAGGTCACAGTCACAGCTATGCCCGGGTGCTTCACAAGATCACAGGCTTTCTGCCTCCGTTGTGGCTACCAGCTGGTTGTCCCAAGGCCTTCTGGGCTTTTCCTTTGCCTACTTACAGGCCCTTGGTTGGTGGCCTCAGTGCTGGCCTGCCCAGGTGCGGCCCTGACCCTGCCATGGTGTTTTCACCTACAGGTGATTTTCCACCTCCACACCAAGCAGTGTGTGGCCTGCCGGGAGCAACCCCGAGGTGCCATCTTGCAGCCCTGCCAGCACCACGTCCTCTGTGAGCCTCGTGTGGCCAGTGCACCTGAGTGCCCCTACTGTGAGGGCCAGCCCCTGCAGTGGTGACTAGTTCTGAGGGAAACACTGCCTCTCCTGGCAAGCATCACTGGGTATGGAGGCTCTGACAGTCCCTGTGCACATGGCAGCATCATCACGCCCTCCTGAGCTAACATCAGAGGGGGACTGGGGCCTTGGGCCCACTGCACCCTGGGTGGTGTCTTCTACTTTCCTGCCCCATTGATGGTTTTAAGGTATTCTTAAAAACCTAAGAAAACCCACAGACCCCCACCCACCTGTCCCTGAGGGTCCTGTCACTTTGGTGGAATGGGTGGGCACCATGATCACGTGGTTTGTGGTCTCAGCACTGTTGTGTCCAGACCGCAGGGAGTCAAGGTCAAGTCAAAGCACTTTGTAAAGTGAGAAGTTTAGTTACATGTTATCAATTGCTCTAAGCTGCTTTCTAGGTTCATTGTTTTTTAATATGTGATATGAAGCTTTATATGTGTCTGTGAACTTAATATTTCCTATCAGTGTATTGTTCATAGTATGGTAAATATATTAGATTTCATATCTGAAATTGAGCATTTATCTAGTAATAAGACCTAGGATTTTTATAGTTTTCAAATTAAGTGCAAATAGTATTTATAAGCAGAGAGTGATTATTGAAAGACATGTATACACTTAGATGTTTTTAATTTTATGAAAGGAGCTAATTTTCCTAATGTGCTAGTGCACATGTAACTGGAGTTTCACATTTCAGTGTCGTAAAGTGACACTGAGGGCGCCTGTCATGCACTTATGTAATCTGTGGCCACTTTTTCTAAGTGCCTATGCCTTGCAGAGTGAAGGAAACAATTCATCTGGTTTTATTTTTTCTCTTGAAACTCTGAAAGAAGTTGACATTCATGAAAAATGCAACAGAAGAGATCGAATATTATAAATTTTTTAAGTTAACTTTCTAAGAAACTGTCTTCTGATTACTTAGATCAGTAGTGGCAATGGTGCTTTGTGACTTCTCAGACACTGCTGGGCCCCTGGCTCATGCCAGGGGTGGTGGGCTGGGAATTGGGAGACAGACCACCTACGGCTCCTGATGACATGAGAGACTCTCAAGGGGGTGTGTACCATAGTCCAGCGTGATGGTTTGAACCAACACTGTCACGATGTACATGTATGTCCATGTGACCAGCCGAAGGCTTTGGTGGCCATGGTCTCTTAGCCCAGGAGTGGCCACCCAGCCTCAGCCTGCAGCAGAAATGCTACTGAGAATATATCTCATGTGGTGACTGGAACCTTCTCTGATCAGGACTGGGACTTCCCCTAAAACTTGGGGGTTTGGGGGGAAAATGTCTGTGGTTACCCAGGCCCAGTGCTCCAGGAGGTGGATTTGGACCCAGAAGGGGTGTGCTAGCCGGAGCAGGCTCCAGACCACCAACCCCCCCCCACCTCAAGAAGTGAACACTGACACATTTCTACTTGCTGTGGCTTTGCCAAAGACTTTTAATAGCATTTTTCAAAGTGCAAAGTAACTAGGTAAAAATTTTTATCAGTGACCAAATTAGAATGTATTTAATATAGTAGGAGTTTTAGGAACATTTTTAAATGTAAAACAAACTGATAGAAAAGTTTTATCATTTTAAAGGAAGTGGGTCCATGGCAGTCTGCAGCTAGTCCACTGCTAAAGATAACTATGGACTGGGTTTTAGTAAGTCTAGTTTGTTTTTAATTATAGTGATGATTTATTAGCTCAGTACCTAGAAGTTACATATATTTTGTGCTACTGTTATCACTGTTTAAAATTATTTTTATTATTTATGCACTTGGTTCCCATTTTAAGCCTTTGGTCTTCATTGGAACAAGACAATGTTTATTAATGATATCTAGCCTAGGCATTTTCAAATTATAAACAATTAAGGATAATTAAGCTTTAGGAGTAAGCTATTCTGGTCAGTTTTTTCTGTGGAATCTGGCTAGTCTCCAGAGCATGTCTCCAGGACATATTCTGGGGGTGGCGGCGGCTGGGAGATGAAGGTGGCAGTGCCCATAGGCATCCCTAAGTACACATTCAAGATCAGGACCAGCTCTGAGGATACGTGTGCTGTGGGAAGACCAAAGAACTGCCTGGGAGTGGAATTCCTGAGCTGCATGGGCACTGTCAGGGTTGGGGGTGGTAGCAGATGCTGGGTACTGCCCACGTGGGGTCCTTTCCTACTCTAGTTCTTGGCTCTAATCTTTTGATGGCTGAGGCCTCTGGGACTGATCCCAGGTGACTGGTGGGTGGAAGGTCCTGGGAGCTCCCCCAACCCACTTGGCCTCAGAGGTTGAGCTGAATGGCTTGTCTCGAGTGAGGGGGGAGAACTGGGTGTAGGCACTGCCGCCGTGCCCTGACAGGTTACACCCCTGTTCTTGTTACCTGTTGTCACCCTAGTGTTGAATCTTAGCAGTTAACATTAACAGCGTCACAGTGTTCATGTAACTGGTCAGCAGATCTTTGTTTGGTGTGGACGCTTAATGTGGATTAATTTACAGAAACCCCCAATGTTTGTTTCAAGTATTTAGATAAGAATGTTATTTGAATGGAACTTTCTTAACCAAGAAGGTAGTATTTATAATGTATAATCATTTACTTGTAGTGAATTGTTTCAAGTTGTTAACACTTGTTTTTAAGTTTTTTTTACACTATAGCATTTATGCAATGGTTTACAGAATTCATGGAGTTATTTTTATCAGTATGAGAATTAAAACTTTGAATCTTTATTTTGTCTATATCTCTGGGTACAAACTAAGACTGGCCATCAGTCCCTGGGAGCATCCGCACGTGGTCTGAGGGGAGCCATGCCTCTCTACTGTAGTGTACTTGCCCAGGGGCCTCTTGACTTGCAGTGTGCTGCCTTCGCCTCTGCCCTACGCCTCGGGTCTGAGGCTCTGGGTCACAGGAAGTTCCCATGTAGTCCTGGATCACCTCCCAGTTGCTCAGGGGATCTGTCTGTGGGTGTCTTGTGGCCCAAGCGCTCAGAGCTGGAGGTTTCTGTCAGAACACCGAGTGGTATGTCAGGCCCTGGCCCCACACAGGGGACCAGGAGGAGGAAGCAGGGTGGGCTTGGTGCCTCACCCAGGTCTGATTTACCTGGGGGCTTTGTGTAGGGGATGCCGTGTTGGGTGAGCAGATTTTTAAGCCTCTTTGTCTCCTTCAACAGTTCTTTATGTGCCTAAGAGAGGGAAAAGTAAGCCACTTGGTGGGAGGCTGTCATGTCCAGGGACCCCTCTCCCCCAGTTCTGTACCTTTTTACAGTTTTCCAGGGTCTCAAGCCCCAGGCCCATAGGACCTCCTTCCTGCTGAGTGGGTTCACTTTCTCCTGGGGTCTTTAAATAGCCAGCATCCTCAAAAAGTCCCCTCAGCAACTTCTCATAGCCCTGAAGGCAGAGGAAGCAGATGAAGCACACAGGTTCCGAATGGGCCAGCTGGGGCACCCATCCGACCTTGTGCTCACCTGGGGCGTGATCAGGTCATCAGCCAGGTCCTGCTCCACCTGGTCCCACCGCTGCTGCAGGTCCTCCGGCAGGGCCGGGTACACTAAGGACCCAAGACTGGATCAGCCAAACCCTAGTATCCCCACCCAGCCACCACCCAGCATCCTACCTAACAAAGAGTGGGGGTGGCAGACGAGGGGGGTCTCAAATGTCAATGAATAGACACAAGTGCTCGGCTCCGACACGTGGGCTAGCTGGTTGCTTTTTCCACAGGTAAGCTCCACCTGGGGAGGGGAACTTCGTGGGTGGACTGGGGGAGCACAGGCCCCTCTGCCCAGGCACTTGTCCTCACAGCCCCACCTTGCTTTGGCGGCTCTGGGAGCGGCAGGAGTCACCGTCCCTCATCCACATGGCAGCAAAGGTGTTGTTGGTGATTTCCCACTCCTGCCATATGCTGCAGGGAGTAGAACACATGAGGCCAGGCACCAGTCACGGAGGCTTCTGCCTGCCTGTCCCCCAGCTCACCCGAGAATGCCACTGTAGGCGTTCCAGCGGAAGGTCTGCTCATGCTGGGTCACATTGTGGAATGGACAGAACTCGTACTTGTACCTAGGGGCATAGGTGGTATCAGGGCCCAATCCCATCTCACCCCCACCCCACCCCACCCCGCCCCGCCCAACTGCCCCACACTCACGTGGCCTCCACCAAGCTGAAACACTTGCCAGCGAGTCTGAAGAGTCGTTCAGGCCCTAGGAGAACAGAGTGTGGCAGGCTGAGCCCAGCACAGAGGCTGGGCCAGGCCAGAAGGGAAAACAGATCCCCAGCAAAACGGGGAGAGGGGGATGTACCATGGGGGTGGGGGGAATGCCAAGCTGATTTAAACCTTAAAAGTGAAGCACAAGAGCTTGAGTGATATCAGCAAAATGCCAGACCCAGGAGCTCCAAGCTCGTTTCCCTGTGGAAACAACCATTGGAAACCCACTGAGCTACCTTTGCACGAACTGTTAACACTGGTTTCCAGGAGCCCAATGAACACCCAACCAGCAAAACGCCACTTGGAAACTGGCAGGCTGAGCCCTGTGGTGTCTGTGCCTGCCCTCTGTGGCAGTGAGGAGGATTTTTGCCTCACCACCTCGACCGGTCCTGTCTGGGGCTGCCCCAGAAAGCAGCAGAGACAACAGGTGCCCAGAGGACGTGCAACAGACCACAGACAACCAGCTGGAGCTGGGATGGGACTCCAGAGACACAGACACTGAAAGGCAGCCATGTACACATAGACCCAAGAACAGCAATCCTCCCCCCAGACCACAGGGGAAGGATGGTGCCACACAGGACTAGTCTGCAAAGGTAGTCAGAATAGCCTGCTTTCCCAGATGAATTTTCAACAACTAATCGCCTAGCCCATTCAAATGAAAGAAACTGACAAAGCAACTGAGAACTGTACATCAGCTACACTGTCCTCACAGACAAGGTTAAGACACCCCTAGTTAAAAGCTGGGAGTCCAGCTCAGCGCCTGTGGCTCAAGTGGCTAAGGTGCCAGCCAGCCACACACACCTAAGGTGG